CAGTGGGAGAGTCAACATACTCCACATAGCAAGCCCATAGCCAGCTCATGACCTTAACAGACTGACAGTCACTTTTCTCTTTTTCTCTTCCTCGGGAGGTTTAAAGCACTTTTCACTGAGCCCGGGGAATCTGGAAGTTTAAAGGAAAATCTGAGAGAAGCGTTACAGAAACTCTGGAATCAGTTTCATGTCAAAAATGTTTAAGGGTCAATTCATCCGAGTACAATTTGATACCCTGTCACACAGTGTTGATTTGGACTGTCCAGAATAGTGGAGCAGTCATAACTGGAGAGATTCCTACAGATCACATGATAACGATGAGGAGAAAAACGACGAGGAAAGCGAAGAGGAGGCTAGACAGACAACCAAGACATTGAATCAGGGTTGCATGACCGACAGTGCTGTCTGTGTTTGTTTGAGTGACAGACCAGAGCTAAAACCTGCCCAGAGGTATTAGCTGTGACTGACAGCGGAAGAGGGGGGTACAGACACTCCTCAATCAGCACCGCTGGAAGAGGCAGATAGGGCCAGCAGAGAAAGAACCCATTCCCAGTGAAAGCGACTGGCGCTGTGCTCGTCTCAGCTGTGTGCTTCTGTTTGTGTGCACGCAGCACCAGGAGAGCTCGTGGCCCTGACGGTACCTCTCAGTGTAAGAACAGCTGGAGGTTTTTATGTGGAGGGGTCGTGACAAAACACGCAGACAAATGCAATTATGGAACGTCTTTCTGTATTCCTCACTTTAAATGTCTCTTTTAAAGTGTTTTGATGGAAGTCAGTAAAAGTTGTGAAAGTTAACTTCATCATCAAGGCCGTCGACAGTCAGCAAGGATCAAACCGCTAACAGACTAAAATACGTTTTCTGCTTGAATCCAGCACACGGACAATCTGCAAACCTTGAAGTTCTTTAATGGTCTTTTCGATATTCTTCGGCAAGTTCAGCGTGTGTGGAAAGTGTCGAGGGCTGATGTCAGTATGGATTCGTATGTTTGAAATTATGAACAGTCGCTGCAGCAAGTGCACAGCTGCTGTTATCCCAGGGGGGGAAACACATATCAGTCAGTCGCCACCTGTGCTGCTTAGAGCCACACTTTGGCCCGATCCCTCCCTTTCCCGTCCTTTCTTCGCTCTGCGGCGTAGCATCGTGTGTTAAAACTGTTTATCCTTCTATATGCCTCATAGCTGATAATTAGCTGACACATAAGCAAAGTAGGTGGGAAGTGCACGAACTTCCTTCTTTTAAAAAATACTCTCAGAATTAAAGGCTGGAAGGTCCTGGATTCATTTAGGACGTGGGAGGGGGGCAAAAAAAGAAGGCAGGCTGCTGAT